GAAGGATAAATATCAAGATAATTATACCAAATGCGATGAAAAATCTAATATCACTTCATCATTCAAAGAATGGCTATATGCAGAAAAACATGTCCCAGATGCGCCTAAGAGTGCTTTACAGAGTAAGAACTATGCTTCGCCAATTAAAACAGTTTTTTCAACTTGTTTTTGTCTTTTATTGATAATACTTTCAACATTTTTCTTTTTATATAATGTAATATAATAATTATAAAAAAATATATTATATTTAACTTCTATAAAATATAAACTAATATAATATTAAAAACATGGCAATTATTCATATATAACATATTTTCTATTGTTATACCTTTAATATATAGTATTCTATTATAAAATCATTTTTATATAATAAATATAAGACGAAGAGTTTAATAAAGAAATATATACAATATATTTGCTCTTTAACAAACAATGGTGTTTCTGTATTAGCTTCTGATTATGAAAGAATGAATATAAATTATTCATCTCGGACAAATTTATAATTATAGTATACACTAAAATATCTCATTAAGTTTTAGTTTATCTAAAATTACCAATTGTAAAATAACTGAATTGTGAAAAAAGTTATAAAATTATATGTATATAAAAACAAGGAAATGTCGTAATTAGACATGTAAACAAAGTGATGCATAATGTAAAAATTAAATATTATGTTTCTAAATTATGTCATTACATATTATAATAAAATGAATGAGTATTAAAATTTAATATATTTATGTCGTAAACCTAAGAGCGCGTAATATATTTAGTAATAAAATATATTATATGGATGATTATATAAATTATATTTCGAAATAAATTATTAGCGCATTTTATAACAACAAAAACACCTTTTTAATAATATTATATAATAAAATTACATGATATAACTAGCAAAGTACTATACATATATTATACAATTATTATCACAACTTGAATTTTCATATGTACAACTATATTATACTTATATTTTGTATTACTAACCCACAGATTATATAGTGTATATATATTAAAGACATATAATCCCCATTTTTAGTGGTGTATTAATACAAAATATACAATATATTGTTGAAGATAATATTAATTCATTATTTGTAAACACAGGTAATAATATTTTGGACGCCATTATATTATTAATTTGAAGTACAGAAATATGAAAATGAATAATTGAAAAATATACTTATCTTATTATATTATAATAATTATTAAAAATATTATAATTATTTTAAAAAGAAATATATCAATATTGTATTGTTACTATTTTTTATTACATATAAAACAATAATTTCTTCATATTATATATGGATTGTAAGAAGACGAAAAATCTTGGATATATAATGCCTTATAATATTGCTTTAGTAATATCAAACATTTGAAATTAAATGATTAATAACGTTTAAATACTTATAATATATTCGAAATTTCTCCAAATAATGGTATAAATATTCTTCATTATTTATTAATATATTATTAAATATATAAAATTTTACTTGACACAAGGTTATGTAAAATTAAATTAAAAATGAATTCAACATAATCAAATATTAAAAGTATGTAAATAGGTACAATAAAACAGAATCATATCATAAAGGGTATAAAAAAATGTTAAATAAATTAGTTCATTATTATATCCAAATTTTAAAACGATTATATTATATATATATTAATAAAATATAATACATATATAACAAAATATATGCAAATTATTTTTTCACTTAGCGTATTAGATGTACAGTATATTATTACAAATAATTCCTAATATTGTAAAATTGATAATCAGTAATTGATATATATATTAAAGAATTAAAAGAAAAATATTATCATATAATTTTATTATTATAATTCATGAACACATAGTTAAGCGACACTCTATATTAAGAACATTATTTTATTATATTTAGAAGAAAAATAAGATTAAGGTTATAATGATGGAATAGAGATATCATTAATATATATAAGGGCATAATGATAATTCTAATACTTCCTTTAATTTTTGTCGTAGAACTTGGAATTATAATATTCCTTATATATTATTATAAATGATTATTATATAAGACATAAAATTTTATGTTTAATATAGTGTATAAATTTAGAAATTAGTATTAATTCATTTTTCATTAGTTTTGTATAGGAAAATTTATTGAAATAATACATGCTATAGTGTAGCAATATTTTAAAATGCGTAACAAAATATATTGAACAAATTTGTTCATGTTTTCTTCTATTAAACATTAAGTGATTCATATTTATATTATATAAATATTATAAATTACTGTGTAAAATATATATTTATCTTAGGCTATACTAATGAAACATTTGCTTATAAAAAATTTCAATTGAATATCTAATATAAAATAAATATACGTAATTTATATTAATTTTCTAAGCTTGAGTATATCCACCTAGGATAATTTTATTAATTTTTACTACTTCCAATTTATTCTTTTATAGATATTTATGTATAGTATTTATATTATGCTTTGATAATGTTTTCAATACACAAATTTTCACATTAACATGTTGTAATATTTTAGTATATGTAAATATATCACTAAATGTAAAAAATAGAAGCGAAATGCACAATTAATTCCTTTCCATTATCTTTAATTTTCTTTTATATTCTTTAGAATATAATATATATTTTATATTTATATATATTTATGAACATAATTTAATGAAAAAATTACTTTTCTACAATAGTTGTTGCATTTGTTTCTCAGCAGCATATACATGGAGAACATAATTCTTTTAATAAAATTATAAAAATATGAAAGAATATAGCGTATATATAATTCCTAATACATAGTTGAAACATATTCAATAATTTTAATATGTTCTTAAAATTTATCCTACATTTCCAAGGTGTTTTCTTATAAGAATAGTGAAGCCATAAAGAAACCAGCATATTAATATGTATTTACACTGCTTACAATATTAAGCTTAGCAAGAGCTATATTGCTTATACCATTTAGTCTTATATTTATGGTATTTTAATCTACTAAAAATTATACATATATAGTATGGAAGTTAAATTAATATACTTTTTACATGACATCTACTATTTAACAAATTATTAATGTTAAATAAATACATAATAAATATATATTTTCATTATCGAGCTCTATTTGCGCATATATTTATTACAATGTTACAATATTAAAATATTGTATATGTTGATTATGTAGAGAATTTTTATATTAATATATATTGTTTTGTATTATTTAGTAAATCCCGATTAAATTTGTTTGAATTTTATTTCCAATTTTTTAAAATTACTGATAATGTTGAGTTATATATTCTTTAATATTGGGAAATTCGGAAAAAATTAATGTATTATGTAAATATATAACTATAAAATTAATAAAAATTTATATCATTGCAATATATATAAATATTTATAATAAATAATATTATGTTCTAACTACGATTCTAAAGAATATATTATACGTCTTTTGAAGAAATAGTATTTATATGTTGTAACATTATAAATGCATTGGAATATTTAAAACATTTAAATATGGAGTGTAGAAAAATATAAATCTAGAGATATCTCTAATTTTTCAAAAGACATGTGATCATTTTTAAAGTATTCACGAGATAAAGTGTGGATCTATTGGTTTCATGATTATTTGTACATGCTTTTTACATTAAAAGAAGATCATATTTTATATATATTATACACGCTATATAGTGTGTATATGTATATGATGAATCATACATTATAATATCTGTTTTAAATAATAGCTATAAGAATAAATTTCGTTAAATTCATTTTAGAATATAGTCTAGTATATTAAAACATATTATATATTTGAAGAAAATTATTTAATTATTATTTTATATTAAAATATTCATGAGGGATTATATTATCCAATTCCCATAATACTCAAAAGATGAAAAATACACTCTATCCTATTTTATATATAAACTCATCCTTTCTAATTGTGAAAACACCATATGATTCTTTGTTTAATAAAATATTAAACTATCCTTAGAAACACCGTTTATATTTTATCTGCCTATAATATGCATATTTATTATAATGAAATGTGCCTATATATGCATTTAAATTTGCCAAATAATGAATGAAATACGAATATAAATATAGATGAAAAGTGATTTATTAACTAATTAGATATCAAAAGAATAATTATACTCTTATAAAATTATTTGTACATAAGCATCACGTAATTATAATATTAAGCATATATATAATTAGTATTAATTAGTAGTAGTTTATTAGACTCTTAGATGTAGAATAATACTAACATAGAATTTATAATATGTTTTTTAATTTTAATACATATATATTATGTTAATTCTGTTATTGAATTATTATTTTATATAAATTTATATAATACAAAAACAAATAATTATTATACATATATGTGTAAGGATAATATAGAATGATATATGTAACATATATATTAATATACACAGCATATAATTTTTCTAAGTTATCCTCTGTATATTTTAGAAATAAAACAATGATATGAATAAAATTTATTTTATTAATATTATATCATTAAATAAAATAGCAAACTAAAAATTATTAATCCATCAATAACATATATTGGAAGATAAGTACAGAATTTTGAGGATAGATCAATATATAATATACCATAAAGTGTTAAAGCAATCCTTTATATTACAAAATAATTAGTTTTTAATTCCATATAAATTTTTTTTCCGTGTCGTAGAAATATTAATTCTCGAAAAAACTAAACATTTTAATACAGATATAATGATATACTACTGAGTCCTTTCTAGTAATATATAAATATTTGTCCTGTTAAAATTTGTGTTTTTTACTTATCTAAATCAATTTATTTTACATAATTATATAAATTTATTGCTATAAATCATTGTTATTTTATATAAAAAATAATGATAAACGTAGTTCACGAATCATCGTTTACGTATATTCCTATTATACGTATATATTGTCCCAATATGAACTGCCTAATAGAATGCATCGTATTTTTTATTCAGACACAAATTTACTTATTCATGGATTGGTAATATATATTATTTTTTTCTTGATCAATATTTTGATTATTATTTCTGTATGTTTTATATTGTTCGTAATAAGCTTCCTCGTTAAAATTTTCACTCAATCTAACTTTATGCTTAGGACCAGTTCGAAATATAGATACTATAGGCGTAAACTATTAAGTAATAAAAATATATATACATATTCAGATATTCTATATATATTGTTTTAGTGTTGTATTATTAATTTATTTATATTTAATTATTTAGAATTTCCTTATAAAAGTGTTAACAAGTTTTTATTACTTCGTTTAAAAAAAAGGCAAGAAAGATTGTTCCTAAAACTGTTACACTTATTGGAAGAGCAATGGTACTTATTAATGATTTGCAAATATACGATTTTTCAGCTTTTAACACTGGAGAGTAGTTAATTTTTTCAGGAGGGCTTTTGTCACAATAATTATTAGATGTGGTACTCGTTGCTTCTGTATTTTCGCCGAATAATTTATACTTTTCACCTAAGTAAAATAATATACTAAGTTTAGCACAGTTTTCCTTAATAGAATTTTTGTCCTTATCATCTTTTTTAAAACAAACATGTTCCTCAACTTCTTGTTTATAGCATCTATCATTAATATTAGGATTCCTACGAGCTACATCTTTAAAATAGTAAGAATAAACTCTTTTACAGCTTTCGTCACTATAATATTGTTTTAGCTTATCCCATAATGGTTCAATATGAATATTCCACCAACGTAAATTATAATAACACCTTCCAAAGTTAGTGTACAAATTTTTTTGTTCATCTAACCATGTATTTAAAGCAGCACACGCAGTATTATAACGTTTTTGGTTTTTTTTATTAAAATATTGATGGGCAATTCCATAATTATGATATAAATATAAAGCAACATATGTTAAAATAGGATCATGAAATTTACTTATATCATTTATGTATTCATCTTTTATGCTAAGTACTCTCGGATAAAAATTAAATTCTTTAAAAAAGTAGGTATGGCATAAGCCCAACTGAATTTTAAAAAAATTAATGAAAAAAAATAAATATATATTATTACAGAAGGAAATGTAAATAATTGTATACTTAAAATATAATTATTATATTCATATATTTTTGTAATACATATGTAGTTCTTTTTAAAATAAAAGGAAAATTACTGCCTCATATTGTGGTGCGCATTGTCCTTCATTAATATATTTCTCATATTCATTATTTTTACTATGTTTCATTTTAAAAAAATCATTAGGAAAATATAGGCATAAATTAAAAAATATATAATTCCTGTAAAAATATTAGTATATATATAATTTATAAACAGAATATATTGGAAGAATTATATAATGATTATATATTAATATGTATAATCCCTTTAAAAAAAATATATCTGCATAATTATATATATTAAAATTCATTATATCAATATATATCACCTATATAAATTAATATTTACAAAAAAAGCTCTTAAATAAATGTGAAAACACAAAGTAATTTTCTTTAATGTTTTCTTAAGTATTGTATTATTTATTCATATACATGATTTCGTAGAATATACATTATTATTTATATAAATATTATATTAATTTTTTATATATAAATATAATTTACGTTACGTTTTTTTAAATAAAATTTCAATAAAGTTTTTATGAATACAGATTATTTATGATAGAAAATTTTTTTTTTCAATTGCATTTTTCAATGATTTAATATAAATCAATATTATAATGGTTAATATATATCATCATGACAATAAATTAAATTACGCACTGGAAATCATAATATAAAAAAAAAAATTAATATTTTCCTGAACTCATTCTGTAATATATATTTTAATATATATTAAAAGACATATATATACCAATATGATAGTTGTAATTATTTTTATAAAGCATGAATTATTAATACCCTAGTCATTCTAATAGTAAGCATGGAAAAATACTGCAAAACGCAAGAATATTATGATAAAAATATTTTCTTATTGATGTTTAATATTATTTACGAAATTTAAAAGAATTAAATATAAATATAGTTATTTTAATATATTCTGTAAATAGGAATATTGTTTTTATTTATGCTTATAAAAAATAAATATCTTAAATTATTATATGTTCTACCATATATTATATACAAAATATATTATGTATATGTTTTTTCTATATTATATAACCCATTATATCGTGTTATATGTTTTGTATGATATTTATATTGAATGTTTAAATAAATATATATATAATGACAAAAGAACGAGATAGATTATGTCCCGATGCTTACGTAATTTTTATTTATCTTTGATAATATCACAGAATAATATACAGCTTAATAAGAATATCAAATATTGTTTTTTTGATTCAATGTAATTTTACTTTTATTATATATATATAAGTTCATATATTATACTCCATTATATATATTTATCTACAGAATCAAGTATGTTATTCCTATTTTAATAGAATTTATAATGATATTCGCTACTATCTTTATCCAAATAAGTACGAGCATATACAATGTGACGATAAAATTGATAAAATTTATAAAATTGATAATTTAATTAAAGATAAATTTGATAATTTTTTTAAAGATAAATTTGATAATATTTTTAAAGATATTAATGATCCTATTTTAAAACATATTGCTATATACTTGATAGCAAATTACGCTGGAGCTCATGTATATTTTAGTAATGATGGAAAATGGGTACAGAATCCTGCCTGTGAATCGTTAAACAAATGGCTCGATAATAGAAAGAGTTATTTCACACTTGCACTTAATTGTAAAGGAAACGTTCATTTATGGGATAATACTATTGAAGCATTATGGAAAGAACTGGAATCTATTTATAAAAATAATGGGAGTAATAAAAAATGGTGTGAAAGGTACAATTTATTCAGAGGATCTCTTGATCTACCCAAAGGACTACCTCCACCTATGTGTTATAAGCATGTTCCTAAGGATTATATATGTGTTCGACCTTTTCCTCCAAATATGTGTAACTTAGCAAATACATATAAGAATAATGGTAAGGATATAAAATCATATTATGAAATATGTAAAAAAAATAAGGATGGAGCAGATGTTACTGATTTCTCTTTGATGATTTCCGAAGCTATTGCTAATGGATATCCCCTCTTTAAGGGCATCCATGATATTACATTCTCACGTCAAGTGCAGAAAAACGTCGATTGTCCTTCGTTAGAGTATGCTACTCCTATTTCTGTATGTCTTTCCTTTTTTGGGACACTGTTAATTATATATATATTAATGAATGTAATATAAGAATTTCCGTATATTTATAGGATTTTTTTAATTAATTAACATAAATAAAACTTATTTAGTTTTATCAATTAAATGAATTATAAAATATGAAAAATAATTACATATTAATATTTGTTTATTAGTTTACTCCTCTTGGATCTAAAATGTCATATAGAGGCATAAATAAAAAAAGGATTAGAGATAATTTCAACGAAGAACCAGAATACGAAGAATATGCTAGATCTATTAAAAAAAATCTACATCGAGGATGTAGAAGAAATAATATATATTACCATTCTGTGAGGAATTAATTCTTTCATATATTAATGTAATATTGTTACGTAAAATTGTTTATATAATATAAATATATTTTATATGAAAATATTATCTTTAATGGTTAATCCATCATATTTACGAAATATAATATTTATGTTAATATTATTTTTTCCATAAAATGCAATATAGAAAATATATATGTCTGCATAATATAACGAGTTTAATGAAATAAAATTATAATGTAATATATAGGACAATAACAAGAATTGATGATGTTTTTTATAGGTTATAGATTTAAAGGTTTATCAGAATTATATTTAGTTATGAATATATATATATTCACAAATATGAATATGTCAATGATATCACTGTTAATTTTGGAAAGAAATATATTTTAATTTAAAAAATATTCAACATTATTATATATGTACAAATATAGAATGCTTAATAATCTAAAGCACACAAAATTCTGAATATTTCCAAAAAATAATATAACGAATAATATATATAACGAATAATTACACAAAAGTAAAAGTTAAGTTATTGCAAGTTAGTAACACCTTGGATAGAATTAAAGCGAAAAAGGAATAGATATATACATAATTTGTATGATTATCCAAGGATTATGTAAATAATTATAACTCTGGAAAATATTTTTTGATTGGTTAAGATAATATAATTAATATATTAAGAGATTAAGTAAGAAAAATATCATTTTTAATGAATTATACTGAAAATGAAATTATTGAATTAAAAAAAAAAACGTATATAATATATAAAATGCATCTGTTATTGATAGTTCATCAGATGGTAAAAGAAATTGATAGTTGATATACTACAAAAAAAAGAGAAATTACTTGGAAAAAAATTTGCAAATCTATGTCATGTATAAAAGTATTCGGATGAATGTGACATGAATAATGATAACAATAGTTGTGTAAATAAAAATGATATCGTTATAAACGAGAAGGTGAAAGGACTAAACTTTTATATGCAGGAATGATAACTTTGGTGTTATCTATTTGTTATAATATCTCATTAATTGCTTTTAAGCAGAATAAGGAGTAAAATGTTAATGATATTTCATTAGATGAAGCATTTAAGTGTATAACTGTAATTAAATAGCACGTTAAATAACAGAATATAGAAGATTGTTATGACAAGATTTATAAATTTTATGAAAAAATTAACATATGTGCATATACAATTAAAAATATAGCTTAAACATTACATGGAAGCGAATGACTACCAAAAATTATTATACATAAAAAAAAATTAATTAAAATACATAATAATATAAAATATTTAGAAAAAAAAAATTACACAGTTAACATTAATTTTATAGACAAGTAATAATAATTAAAATAAATAGATGTATATTATATATGTTATATTTTTATTGTATAATATTATCATAATATAATAACTATTATATATTCACATATGAGTATACAATAAAATAAACATACAACCTATAAAGACTAACAAGAAATATAAAACTAAAAGAGAATAATCTGATATAAAAATAATAACCAATACATAAGAAATAATGATTAAACTAAGACTAAAACATAAAAAACTAAATATTAAATAATAAATAATAAAATATAACACCTAAAAATAAAAAAAAATCATAAATCATCAACTCTGAAAAAGAACACTAAAACTAAATCCTATATCCTTAAACCTAAACCCTAAACCTTGTATTACTAAAAGAAAAGCAAATATATACACTTTCTTAGAAAGATAATTCTGTACAACAATACTTATCATGTTTCAGATATATTTGACAAAATTATTCCTTTTTGTATCAAAAGCAGAACTGTTATATATGACTGTATCTTACATTAAATCTTCTCGGTGAGTCTAAATCTTCAGGAATCGCGTAATCTTCTATTATATTCCTATCAATTATAATATTACGTTTCCTTTTAGATTTTCCTTGTATGGTTTTTTTTAACCAATACCCAACTGGAGTAAACTATAGAAAATGCCATATATACAGAGCATATTTTATGTATAATATTTGTAGGAATCAAATAAAAATTAATAAAATTTATTTAAAATAATGTTGTATATATTTTTTTTTATTCAAAATAATAATTACTTTGCACAGTAAAATAGAAAAAACTGTAATTCCTATAACTAAGGAAGAAATGACAATACTTTTTGAAGTTGAATTAGCTGAAGGACTATCTAAAATATTCATAAGGGGGCTAAATTTTGTATTCACATTTGCTAAATGAGAATCTTCCGATAGTTCATATATTAAATTTTGTAAATCTGCATTCATATATGCATCTTGACTTACAGGTTGATTTACCTGTTTTCCTTGATTATCATCATTTACAATTGTATATGTCTCTCTTCTTTGTATTCCTTGATCAGGTGACCGTGGCGCAATATCTTGATGCTTTTCCTGTGTTGTATGATTAGTATTACTTTCTTCTAATATACAATTCCATCCTCTTAAGTCTTCTTGAGTCTTACGTCCAAAAAGTGTATTAAAAAATTCACAATGCACATCCTTATTATTTGATGTATTACAGTTGTTTTTGAACTTGTAATAAATTATGATATATTTAACAAGATAATTCCTAAATACCCTATTACAAATCCTGTTACCTTTACTCAAAAGTTTATCAAGATGATCATAGTCTTTCGAAAAGTCAAATAATAGCTTAAATTCCATAAAATCATCAAAAGCGATATTATAATAATAATTATCATAAGTACAAATACCCCCAAGATCAACACTATTTAGGAAATATTTAAGCGTTTCCATAATGGTTCTAAACTTAATTGAATATATTAAATCACTATGCAATACATAGCCTAACCAAAAATACAGGTAATCACACTCAGTACTATTAAATTGCTCTGTGGATTTTTTCTCATATACATAACATAAGACATTACGTATTTTATTATGATAACCATTAAGCCACTCCTCATTATTAATGAGACGCGCTACACCATCGTAATTATGAGAATGCACACAATTATCATCTGCATTTTCGAAACTATGGTACACCTTTTTTGAAGGTAATTCTTTAAGGTCATTTTCCTATGAATTTAAAATAAATGATAAAATATATATTTTTTATTTAAAAAAAAATATATAATTAATTTAAGAAATACGATATTTTAACATTAACAATGATTTATATTATATAAATAACGTACCCCTAAAGCATGAACCATTATTAAGGAAGATCAAAATGTAATATACAAACAATATAAATGAGTCATATATTTAACTATGTATATACAAGCCATTGAAAAAGTTTCAATAAAATTAATAATATTATACATGGTGTTATTTAAGATTAAAAATTTTTCTATATAATATTGTCTATTTTTATAAATTTTTTTCGTATAATTTTAGTATTATATTCCATGAAATAAGAATATATATTTGTTTATAGTACATATTATATAAACGTACATATTTGTAATATTCCATTATATATACAATATGAGTATGAAATTATTAGTAATTCTTAATAATATATACCATACTGTACATTACAGCTATAATATATAATATCTATAAATACAGTTTATAAAGTGTTATGACACTACTAATAATATTAAAGGTTATCACTTTTTAACGTACACAAACTACGATTATATGAAATTTTTTATATAATTTACATTAATAAGTATATATTTATGTGCAAGATTATAGCATGTATTGTTATTTTTTTTCACGCTATAGATTTAGTACTTCTCCTAAAAACATTTATTTAATATTTGAATTCATTAATTTCTTCTCCATTTTCATATTATATGTAAGTATTAATTATATATTATTAATATTTATAAGAACGTTCTAACACTATATACGAAATAATTTATATTTTATTTTGATTTATATATATCATCATATTTTTATTATTGATATATATGTAAATTTGTTTTATTAGATGTTACTTTAAATAGATATTATATGAATCAATAAATCATTTTATATGTTTTTATTTTCTTTATTTGAAAAAATATATATATTCATAATTAAAAGTTAAAAAAAAATTTTTTTTTTTATGTATATGTGAAGCTATTACTTAGTAAAAGTATAACAATAACATTTTACAAACACATTCATATTTATTAAAAGATAAGTACATTCAATGATATATAATTTTTAAATGTTAATTATAATTATTCTCTAATTATATATATATAAATAGAGTTTAATTTGCACGAACAATTCTATGTAAAGTATTGCATATTTTTATGTATGTTTTTATTAAAACATATGATGGCTATAATATAGTGATGTTTTTTATATATAAGACAACTGTTAACCTAATTAGTAACAACAAATTTTAATATTTATTTATAAAGCATATTTTATACAAAACTAGGTGTTAAGTTTGTAGTTTCTTTAAAATTCGTGAATTTTTTAAAAAAACTTATTTATTATAATTTTTCCCTTGTATTGTTAATTATTATATATTTTCAACTATTAATGGCTCATAAATATACATATTAATTCAATATAATGGAACATATGGCTTAAAAAACAATAATTTCATATATGATGGATGTATTTTATCATGTATATTGCAATAAAAGATAAATATATTTAAGAAATGGAAAAAATCTGTCTATAGATGAAAATATTATAGTATAACTTTTTTGAAATGCAATTATAACAACTCTGAATAAAGGTAAATTAATAATGATACATTAGATTCTTATGTACAAGTTGTTTAGAAATGTAAAAATTTATAATGAATGACAAAATAATAATATATAAAAATAATTATTATTGCTTTTTAAATGTTCGTATAATTCATATAGTTTATGATATTATTATAAAATCTAATAAGTAATAATATTGTTCTGTCTTTTCAGTACAATGTTTTATTTCTATTTTTAATTTGTTGAAAATTTTTTCATGACACTTCATGCTTTATGAGCACACTATTTTATTATAAATATTTTTAAGTTCTGAATTGCAGACAAAAATAAATTTTTAATATATTTATTTAAATAAATTAAACAGCTTATATATAAATCTTCACACCTGTAATACTGACAAATGTAGTGACATACTTCAAAAATGAATAAAAAATAATAATTTTTACAATTTTTCCATTTATAATCTCATTAAGTCAAAAACAAAATTTGCTCAAAAAAATATATATTCCGTTATCTGTTATTAGTATCCTAGGACCAATAAACTACGAAATGTGTTATTTCTATGTATTTCAATATTGTAAAAGGATGAAAACTTATTCAATATACACAATAATACATATTGTATAAAAAAATTATTAACATATTATAGCTTATTTGAATGATTAAGAAAATTAAATCATATCTATAAAAAAATTATATATATTATGTAAAATAATCTAGATTTTATGATTATCTAATGTGTATAATATTTTAGAAAATCATTAATAAACTAAACATCATAGATAATGTTCATTAAAATGGCTATATTCAGGAGATTATATGTAACCAACAAATAGCTATTTTCTGTTGTATGTTACAATAATGCTTCATATACATAATTATGTTTATCTATGTGTTAGTAAGATAATTCTTGATACATACAAAGATATTCATTTAATTTTTCCAATCAGAACATATTCGATTGTGATAAAAGTTCATAAATATATATATTCCTTAAATATGTAAAGAATAATATCATGAAAATACTTATATCACATGATTATATTATTATATTTATTAGATACTCTAGTTACACAATAATCTATATAACTGATAATCACTGATATAGAAATTGTAAGTGAATGATTGAATCGCTTCTTATTATATAATTTACAACAAAAAACAGGGTTTTGATAAATGAGTATAAATTTAGCGTTCATGTAAAGGATATTTTGTTATTTTTTAAAAAAATACTTCCTTTATTAAAATTTTCTTATTCTTTATAATTTTTTTCACATGTCTTTTTTAAAAGTATGCTGATATATATTACATTCATTTGCGATCAAAGAGAAGCCAATATATTATGATAGAATTAAATGTGAAAGATAACAGATTTAATATACCCTTACTTATTGTAATTATTATTGCAGGTTTATCGAATTATAATTTTTCGTATGGTCTTTATATGAAAAATGTGTTACAGTGTGTTACATTTTATGTTATTAGACATTGTGCAAAATGTTTTTTGATAATCTTCTTATTTAATATGATTTTTAAAATATATTTTTATCTGTTTAGTCAGAAATATGGGTTCCCCTATTCATAAACATAATTCTCGGAAAAAAATAAACATCTATGATCTCTTCCCTATTATGATCATTAAAAGTATCAATATCCTCAAATGCTTAATGTAGAGAATCGTCACCTATCTTCTCCTCATCATTCTTCTTAAATGAAATTAAAGAGATACCAAAACAAATAGATAAACACAAAACAACTCATCCTGCGTATAAAACGCTTATTCATTCCTCCATGGTTTAAAAATTATATCAATTTTTACCCATAGTAGTATTGTTATCACCGTTAATATCACATTCATCCGAGTCTTATTGTTCTTGCGATAATTTTGAAACTTGTTTTCAATATAATTTCTCTTGTTGTTCTTCTACATCATCTAGCAATTTCTTTTGACAATCAAATTAATTATCAATAACAGTAGAATTTTATATATCATCTCCTTTTGCTTTAATTTTATCCAAGACTTTACTATTTTGCGATAACATAGATATTGCTTTTGTGTGATTGTTTGTTATATCGATTATTACTTTTTTGATTTTTTGGGGTGTCTTCAGAATTTTTTGTGGCATCAATTCTTTCTTGGATATTTTTGTTTGTATCTTCAATAAATACGTTTATTTCTAATTTTGTATCGATCTCATAAACAATAGCTTTATTTTCCTTGTAATAACTTTCTATCTGATAAAAATTTTTCCTTTTCTGGAAAACTTTTTCTGTAATTTCTTCTTGTATCATCTTCTATTTTTACAATGGCAGAGATGAAACCTTTCATATTATTATATGTACAAAAGTTTTCATATTAATTTATATTCTCTAATAATTTTTGCATCTTCTCCCACAAAATACTCATTATTTCATTAGTTCCTGTTATATTGTTTCTTATATCATTATTATTTCATTATTCTCATATTTCATTTCTTCACACGCATATTGAAATTGATTACTTCGAATTATATTTATATCTAATATGGGCAACTTTAATTTCTGCTTATGCTTACAGGATGGTCTTCCATTAACACTCATATATGGCACTGCAGTAAAAATTTACAAGTAAAATTATTGTGTACTATCATGCATAATTTGACCTCCTGCTATTTAAATAAAAAAAAAAAAACAGTTATGAATACATGAGTAAACGTTCAATAATTTATTATATGCATTCATGTATATATCTCTATGTACAAATTTATATGCATTTTTTAAAATTGTATGTATCTAAAAGTACAAATTGAAAATTGTATAATATTATCCTAATAATTTTATTTTTTTTCCAACATATACTAAATAAGGGAATTAGAAAAATATTTATACTACTAATCAAAAGTATATCATTCAACTGCTTTAAAAGAAGTGTTACTTAATTATATATATAATTGAAAAGTTCTAATGTGAATTAATTTACACTTATAGTAAATTCACTACATATCTAAAATATAGGAATAAATTAATGCGTATGTATAACACAGTAGTTTATTGTGTTAAACTTATAATGGAAAAAACATGAGGTTCTATATTATATTGTAAAAATAAAATAGCATTCCAAAAATTCACATTAAATATTATTATTGTAGATTTATATATAAATTCGAATGGCTATTATCGCAGTTCAACGATAAGTAATTAGATAAGGTTGGGAAATGAAGTTTAGAGAAAACACATTTTTTTTTACTTTTTACAAGGTTATTAAGAAGAATGAATATTAATACAGATAAATAACATTTATAAAGGACTAAAACTTTAATGAAATTAAATTATACAAAGAAAAATTTACACCATTTAGAAAATAGGTTAATGGGAAAACCATTAATTTTATGTTTCAATTTAAATATGTTAGAGATAAAGTTGTGTGCAGAAATCAGGAATATCGTAGCACATATTATATATTTTAGAAGAGTTTTAATAAATTACACCTCAAAAAAAAAAAATCATTTTTTTATTTTAATTTTCTTTAATATACATCATTCTATATAATGTTTAAATTACAAATTCAAAGTATATAATTTTTCCGCATATGAACATATTATAGCATCCATAACAGCGTTGTAAAACTAGAAATAATTTTAGAAGCATGC